CTGCTACACATCCCGGAAGGGTGGTCGAGGACAGGGAGAAGGCAGTCTGCATGCTGCAGGGAACCTTGACAGAACCTGGCTCCCAGGTCTCTTCAGCTCATGCCTGATTCTCACAGCAATGAGAAAGTAACTTTGTGCTGGTAGCATTTGTGTGCTTGAGGATGTGTGTGAAGGAGTGTGGCATTTGCAAGACCTGCACAGCCTCTTCTAGACTGCTGGCCCAGCATCAGTGCCATAGAAAACTCAAACTAATTGTTAAGAGATTCAACATCCTCCGTGAGCGAGCGCTCGCGCGCGCGCGCACACACACACACACACTCACACACACACACTCTGTTCTTTTATTTTCTTATGTTTGTTTTTTAGAGAGCAAGGTCTCACTATGCAGCTCTGGCTGTCCTGAAATTTACTATGTAGACCAGGCTGGTCTTGAAATCATGGAGAGACCTTCCTGCCTCTGCCTCCGGAGTGCTGGGGTTAAAGGTATGTGCCAACATACCTGGAAAAGTCTGAGTGTGGCTTGGTGTTTGCCTAGCATAAGACTTCCTAAACTTTTCTACTCAAAAGTTTTTTACCTGAGAAATCGATACGTGAATCCATTATATAGATACATAAATCAAACACTGGCTGACCATAAACCATAAGGGAATTCCAAAACAAAACAAATTCTTTTGTTTGTTTGTTTGTTTGTTTTTTGTTTTTCGAGACACGGTTTCTCTGTGGCTTTGGAGGCTGTCCTGGAACTAGCTCTTGTAGACCAGGCTGGTCTTGAACTCACAGAGATCCACCTGCCTCTGCCTCCCGAGTGCTGGGACTAAAGGCGTGTGTGCACCACTACCGCCTGGCCAATTCTTTGATTGATATACATATCACCATTTTTTAAAGGTGAAATCAAGTGTGAGTGCTAAGGAAGAGGTGTGTTTGTAGTTTTTACAGACAGAATGAAATCCTGGTTGGGTTGTTGCTCTGCAGGATACAAAGTATCCTCTGTGTTGTTCAGTTACATCCGCTCATACAGAGAACCAGTCTCCCCAGGCTCAAAATGGCAGGAGCATGTTTGGGGGTGTTCAGAACTTGATGGAAATTCTGTCCTAATCCCAAGCCAGTATTCATTCAATAATTTTTGTTTCATGAAACTCCGGTTTATTTTTACTATTATAAAATTATGTGTATGTGTGTGGGTATACACATGTCTGTGCTTGTACCCATGGAGGCCAAGAGACATCAGATCCCCTGTAAGACAGTTCCAGGTGATTGTGAGCCACCTGATGTGGCAGCTGGGAATCCAACTCAGGTCCTTGGCAACAGCAGTACACACTTTTTTGTGTGAGTGGGTATGTCGAGACAGAGTTTCTCTGTGTATTCTTGGCTGTCCTGGAACTCAAATTATAGACCAGGCTGTCCTCAAACTCAGAGATTCTCCTGCCTCTGCCTCCAGAGCTCTGGGATCAAAGTCGTGCGCCACCACACCCTTTTAACCACTAAGTTGCCATCTTCCCAGCTCCCCCTCAAACAAGTTTAAAAATCAAACAGCATAATACAATCCAAAGACATACTTAGGAATGATAGTTGGAAAATAATAAAAGTTCTTATTTTCCCATAATTAAACCACTATGTTTTCATAAATGCAGAAAACGTCGTATGAACAGTCAATACAGCAGAGCACACACCTATGATAGACTAATCTTTGTGACACAATTCATAGGTGGGGCCGGAGGGCATCCGCTGTGAAAGCTCTGCACTTGGAACCGAGGCTCCAGTAAAGTCAGAGAGGGTAGCACAGAAATGCCCGGGGTTCATGATGTATTTGATTTGAATTGGTTTTTAGTCTTTGCATATTCAGACAGTTGATGAAAAGTTGGTACCTTTTCACTATCCATCTTCAGTTTGTGAGGCTACAACCCACGGCTTAGGAAGCTGGCTTCCAGCTTACAGAGCCTGGGTCCATCCTTAGCACTCAAGGGAAAAAGAACCATGCCTGGTGATGCGCGCGCGCGCGCGCACACACACACACACACACACACACACACACACACACTTCCAGCCTTAAGAACACTAGAATAGCCGGCGTTGGTGGCACACGCCTTTAATCCCAGCACTCAGGAGGCAGAGGCAGGTGGATCTCTGTGAGGTAAAGACCAGCTTGGTCTACAAAAGCTAGTTCTAGGACAGCCTCCAAAGCCACAGAGAAACCCTGTCTCAAAAAAACAAAAAACAAGAACACTAGAACAGCCAGGCGTGGTGACATATGCCTTTGAACGCAGCACTGGGGGTCGGGGGCAGAGGCAGGTGGATCTCTGAGTTCAAGGCCAGCCTGGTCTACAGAGCGAGTTCCAGAACAGCCAGGGCTGCACAGGGAAACCCTGTCTTGAAAAAGAAAGGAGAGAAGGAAGGAAGGAAGACTGGACTGCAGAACCAACAGCTGCTAAGGGAGGCTTGGCACACTGGCAAGTGTCTGGAATCCCAGCTAGAGGGGAGGCTGAGGCAGGAGTGTTACTTGAGCCCAGGAGTTCACAAAAGCTTGCGTCGGAATAGAGCCCTGTTACAAGGTATGTAAATATATATATGGGTGTTTTACTCATGTATGTGTGCTCTCTTAGTGTCTGGTATGCTAGGGTCAGCAGAGGTCATTGGGTTCCCTGAACTGGAGTTACAGGTGATTGTGAATTGCCAAAGGGGTACTGGAAGCTGAATGGTCCTGTGCAAGAGCAGGTGTTCTTGACCTCTGAGCCATCTCACCAGCCTCTGTGTTGCAGTTTTTGAAAACACAATAATCTGTCTTCCTGCAGGAACCCTAGAGTTTTTGGACAAAAAGGCACAATGGGGACAGACCCTTGACTCACTCCTGAGCTAGGACAGGCTGAGGAAGAGCAGGCAAGGGTCTGTCTGGACTTCTGAGATCTGGACCTGGAAGTCACTGCCACTGGTGGATAGGAGGGCTTTCTTGTGGTCTGGTTCTGCTAGAGAGTACATTTGTAACTTCCTTAGGTCATGAGCTGTATGGAGTCTCTGCATCAGGGATGCAGCCTTGGGGGAGGAGAACCTCCCCATAATTACTTTCCACCAGATAAGGGTCTAAGCCCACTGGGTGCACGTGGAAAGTGTTGCTCTTATAACAGTATAATAGTTTGCCTCCCTTAGGGAGTGGCACGAGGGAGGTGGCGGAGTGTGGGCCTGGCCCTAGATTGTATCAAGGTGACTCAACTTTGGGGACCTCAACCCACATAGGGCAGGGGCTTCTAGAGGCTCCTGTGAGTGTAGTGAACCAACCCTTTGCAGTTGCATTTCCTCCTGCCTCTGAAGCTAGCAGGGATGTTAAGAAAGCTCTGGAAGAGGCAGGTGAAAACTGCCATAACTGCCTGGGAAGTAGAGGTGGGTAAGTGCCAAGGAGGTTCCATCTCCAGTATAGAAATGACTACACATGTCCCAGGCAACCCATGTCTGGGCAGCTGAGGGAAGAAGGTGGCTAGATGGTCGGTGGCCTAATGGTAAGAGGAGAGATGGCCATGGTGGGCACAGAAGGACAGGACAGACCTCAAGGTGGTTACTGATAGATCGCCACGTTAGGGGTGGCTGGAAGCAGGAGTTAGATGAATGGATGATGTTGGTGACTTTATGGCACACAGGGAGAGTTGTCCTCAGCTTGAGCCCCAAATAAGAAGCCTGTACCTGGAACTCATAGGAGACTGTCCCAGACTGTACTTGGGGGCTGGAAGCTCCTTTGAAGAGGAGGGAAGAAGAGGTAGGGTTGACAGGCCAGCAGGGTGGCACCTGAGGAGTAGACGGAAGTTGAGCTCTGAGATGAACCTCATCACTAGTCCCTTAGCTCTGGCAGGTGAGGGGCAGAGGAGGATCTGCACACAGAGGTAGACCTGCCATGGAACTTATGAGGGAGATGGCAGGAGGGGAAACAGTAGGTCTAAGATTCAGTCAACAAATATGATTTCTCAGTATGTAGGGCCTGCTCTAAAAGGTGGGTATGGTGGTCATGAACAAAGCAATCTAGGTCCCCAGATGGGCAGTTTACTAACCAGATAAACAATTACATATGAGAAGAATGACAGCCAGCCGCAGACTGGAGCTGCATACAGAGAAAAAGGACTCATGAAAGGCCCCGAGGCAGGGCCTTGGTGGGACAGAAGGGTCATTGGTAGGTGGTTTCTCAAAGACTAAAATGGGAGTAGTGAGGCTGTGTTGAGGGATCCCAGACAGAAGGGGAAGAGGAAAACACACACACACACACACTCACTCTCACACACACACAATGGTGCTTCCTCTGCTGTCAGGTGAGGTTGATGGCTCTAGGCTGCAGCCACCCTGAGAACTGGGGTGTGGACATCACAAGAACAGAGGGTAGGGGAGAAACAGCAAGTCAGAACTGAGGTCCTAGGAGGAGCTTGTAACACCCTGATCTCCACTTCCTCTCCTCCCACTCCGCCTGCCTGTCTCCAACTCACCCCGAGAGTCCCCTAGAAAGGAAAGAGGGGACTTGGGTGTCCCTGGTCCCCTATCTGTGGCGCCAGCCAGCTGGATTCTAATTAGCTGCCAGAGCAGAGAGACAGGAAGCAGAGGGTAGGGGCGGGGCTGGATTTCTGCCCAAAGCCAAGGCTGAAATCAGGTTGGAACCCCTTGCCCTTCTTGAGGGATGAGGATACTTGGTGGTGGAGGGAGTGGGCAGGGGCAGGGTTTAGGGATGAGACTGAAGAGGCTTTGGTGTGGGTGGGTGCTCAGCCATGCTGACCCATCAAGCTTCTCCATTGGAAAAGAGGGACCAGAGCTGGTGAGAGTGACCCTGGAACAGGGCAGTGTCACCGCAGTCCAGGAAGGGCCTCACCATTAGCCGACAGACTCCCTCTGAGCTTACCAAGGTCAGCTCCTGCCCAGGATCATTCTGCTGTCCTCCCTCAGGCTGGTGGGCCAGGCCGTGGTACCCTGGTGATGCGGGGCGAGGCCCCACACACAGTCCGCTGAGAACCCTGCACCCGCCCCTGGCCTTCGCCATGGCCCGCTTGGCTGCAGCACTCTGGAGTCTCTGTATCACCACTGTCCTCGTCACCTCTGCTACCCAAGGTAGGTGCTGTCTGGGCTAGGGAAGGGCTGGGTCTCCCACCCAGATAGGAGGGCAAGAAATGTGAACTCTGTGTACCACAGCCACCACCCCAGATGAATCTGGACTGGGCCAGGGGGAACCTGGTAATGCCATCCTTGGCAGGCACCACTGAGGGGTATTAAACTCCCAGCAGGCTGGTGCACTAGGTGCTGTCTTGCCTGGGGACACCTAGGACTAAGACAGGCCTTTGGGGGGCCAGCTATTCCCCCCGCCCCCGTCACTCATCACATCTCTGAGGCTCACTGGGACCAAGGCTTAATTAAAGCATGCCTGCTGACGTTTATTTAAAAACAACTAATTACCCGGCTCTGGCTTGGGATCCTGCATATGCCACAATTAGTGCCCCAAGCCTGCTGCCCACTGTTGACATTACTTAGTTACCATCCTCAGGTTGGGTACCAGTTGTATGCAGGGCAATAGAAGTAAAGAAGGGGTCTGTTGGCCTGACCCCTTCCTAGAGGGTCCCCCTCCCCACCTTGCCAGTCCTGTCCTGGAAAGTCAGCCTTGTTCTGAAGCCTTGGCGGGGTCTTGTTGGCTGGTGACCCAATCTCCCTAGTGCTCCAGTTCCGGGCCCAGGCCCTGTTAGGCCAGGAGGGGCTGCCTCCACCCCCAGCCCCATGTGAGCCAGCCCTCCACCCCCGGCCTCCCTCCCTGACTAGGGAAGCTAAAATTAGAGGAGGAAGCAGATGGCAAGACAGGAGCACATGGGAAACTTTCTCTCAACTGGGGCTCTGCTCACCCCCAGAAACCCAAGGGCCTGGCTGCTACAACCCCTGGGACTCTTGTCAGTATTAGATGGACCCTATCTTTGAAGAGGGGCTGGCTGGGCTCTGCCCATAGTGCAAGCATCTTTCATAGTGCTTAGCTTACTTCAAGCTGGGGGCCTGCCCCAGATACCTGCAGCTCCCACCTTCGTGCACTCAGTGTGGCTGGGCTGCAGCCTCAACCCTGGGTCCTGAGAAATACTCAACAACGGAAAAATGAACATCTTGTCAGCATGTTAACTGTAGATTAACCTCTGGTGGTAGTAGAGAGACCAGGGACCCTTTAGGTTCCTTGGAGCCACCAGCCAGGCCAGGAAGCAGCAGAGTGGGGACTTAGAGCTGCTGTACTGTGTGGCTCTGATTGTCACAGGGAGTCCTCTCATGTGAAGATCTCTGGTGTGGAGCAGGATGCTCGGAAACCCTGGCTGAGTGTGCTGCCATACCTGGGGGCTAGGGAGATCAGGAGTTCAAGGCTAGCCTTGACTACTTAAACTTTGAAGCCACCTGGCTATGTGTAAGCTTGTTTCAAAAACCAAAACAAGGGGCCTGGAGAGATGGCTCAGAGGTTAAGAGTACTGACTGCTCTTCCAGAGGTCCGGAGTTCAATTCCCAGCAACCACATTGTGGCTCACAACCATCCGTAATGAGATCTGGTGACCTCTTCTGTGTGTGCAGATATATATGGAAGCAGAATGTTGTATACATAATAAATAAATAAAATCTTTAAAATAAAAAAAAAACCAAAACAAAGAAAACTCCCTTTGGTTTAGACTCCCTGATGTCTGGTTGTGGCTTGTGGATGGGTGCCCCATTTTACAGCTTGGGAAAACAAGGCCTGAGGAAGCTACTACTAGTCATCAAGTAGTAGCTGTCTGAACTTAAGCATGCAAAAGTTAGACATGGTGGCACATGCTTGTAATCTCAGAATTTGGGGGAAGCTAGGCAAGAATACCCCAGGTTTCAAGCCAGACTAGGCTACACAGCAAGACCCTATTCCCAGTATATAAATAAACAGGTACAGCTCAGTGATAGAATGGTTGTCTAGGTTCAGTCCACTCCTTGTGTGGTAGCGGTAGGAGGTCTCCAGACCACTCTCACTTGTGACAAATGCTAACTTGATATTCACTCAAAGGATTAGCAACATCCACAGAAGCTCCTGTGCTTAGGGACAGCTTTTTGCAAAGGGAAGACAGATTCAACCTGGTCTGGTGAAGGTGTCTGACATGAAATAGTAAAGATCTGTGCAGTTCTGCAGTGACTGGATGTCTTGGTGTCCCCAGTCTCGACAGAAGTCCCATCATAGGCTTGGTTGATGGCCCTCATGGCAGCCACCACCCCTCCAGAGGCCCCACCCTAAGTCCTGTCATCAAGGGATTTGTTTGCTGAAACTGCCACAGCCTTCATCCCACCATTCGTCCTACCAATCAGGAGAACAAAGGCCTACCATCATGGCACCAGCCCAGCTAGCTCCTGCTGAGGTCTCCTCTGCTTGCTGTAGTGCCCTTCCCCCCATGTCTGCACTTCATCTTGCCCTGGATGACACGTGTGTCGGGTCCCCTCTTTCAGTGCAGAATGACAGCACAGCCCTGATGTCCTAGTTGTTCACGAGGCTGAAATAGGAGGAACACAGTTCCAAGGACAATCTAAGCAGGCCAGTGAGGTACCATCTCAGAATAAAGAGAGAGCTCAAAAGGCAGAGCAGCTGCCTGAGGTGTTTGACGCCTTGGGCTCTATTACTAGTATTGCAACAATAACAATAAAATATACCCCAAGTACTCCCAGTTTGTAAGGACCTTGACAGATTACACTGGGATCTCTTTCACAGCTTGATTTTAAATTGATCTCCACTGAAAAAAAATGTTATCTTCAAGCCAGATGTGCTGGTGCACACTTATCATCCCAGCGATTGTGAGGCTGGGTCAAGGAGGAAGATTATTGTAGATTGTAGCCAGCCTGGGCTACTTGGTGAGTTCAAGGTCAGCATAGGCTACATTGAGGCTTTCAGAGAGAGAAGTATATATGCATGTGTGTGCAAGTGCACAAGTGTGTGCTAGGTGTGGTGACACACTATAGTCCTAGGGAGGTAGAGGAGGAAAGTCGGTTCAAGGCTATGTTGCAAGTTTGAGGCTAGCCTAGGTCACATGACACTGTGCCTTAGTTGGGGGTTGGGAGAGAGAAAACCCCAAAAGACCCTATCCCCAAGTATAGTCACTTTCTGAAGTACTGAGGCTCAGTTCTTCAATTCAGCATAAGGTTTTGAGGGACAGGGCTACTAAGATAGCTCAGGTGTTTGCCACCAAGCCTGGTCTGAGTTCAGTCCCCAGTACCGCTGGTAAAAAGTACAAGTGACCTCCACATGCCCACCCTCAAACATACACACAAATGTAAAAAGTTGTTTTGAAAGGATTTGGGGACACGCATTTGTGACTGGCCCACAATGTCCAGCATAGTGTTTACTCTTACCAGGCAAGGCATTTAAAACAGGGTGAAGAAGGGTCAGCTCTGTCTAGGCCAGGTTATCCCTTCCTCCACAGGGGTTAAAACTCAGAGCCACTTTACAGCCTAATAGGCCTGAGATCCAAATAACCAGCCTCTCAACTGTCCGCCACTGTTGTGCAGGCCTGAGCCGGGCGGGGCTCCCGTTTGGATTGATGCGTCGGGAGTTAGCATGTGAAGGCTACCCCATTGAGCTTCGGTGCCCAGGCAGTGATGTCATCATGGTGGAGAACGCTAACTACGGGCGCACGGATGATAAGATCTGTGATGCCGACCCTTTCCAGATGGAGAACGTGCAGTGCTACCTGCCCGATGCCTTCAAAATCATGTCACAGAGGTGAGCCTCCTTGATGACCTCCATGTGTCCCACAGACAGTGTCCCCCAACTCAGTAACCCCCACAGACCAGTGGTTTCTCAACCTCCCTTCAATACAGTTGTGTTGTAGTGACCCCAACCATAAAATTATTTTGTTGCTACTTCATAACTGTAGTTTTGCTGTTATGAATCATGTAAATATCTGATATGCGCGCGCACCCCTTTTGGAGTCGTGACCCACAGGGTTAGAACCACTGCCACCTACGCTTCCTCATCCCTTCTGCCACCTCCAGAAACTTATTCCAGGACCTGTTGGTGGCAGGTGGAAGCTTGCAGAATCAAAGCAAAGCTGTGCTTCCCCAAAGAAAGACAGCTATTCGTAGCTTTCAGTGTGTGTGTGTGTGTGTGTGTGTGTGTGTCAGGGTGCTTTTGTGTGCAAAATTGTCCTTGTGCATGTGCAGAGGGTGATTTCATGTGAGTATAAGTGTGTGGATGTGAAGCTTGTGTTTGTGTCTCTGAGCAGGTGTGGATGTGAATAAAGTATGCTTGTGTGACTGAGGAGTGTCCCAGGCTAGGGCAGCCCACACAGGAAGCTGTGCAACCTACTGGAATACTCAGGGTCTCTAGAGCCTTTAGTTTCTCCACAAGCTCCTATTCCTGGGAAAGGGCCTCCTGCCTGCTCTTTCTTGTCTGTTATAGTCCATTCTTCCTATGTGGCAGGCATCAGTGGACACCTGAGTCAGATCCTATCCCTTTGCTGGAACATTCTTGGGTTCCCACCTTCCTCTGCTAAAGCCAAGGCTAGACATGCGCTGTGTGGCTTGCCCTGACCGCTGACGTCCAGCCATGCATGTCAGCTCGTTGTAGAGTGCTGCCTGGGTTCAGTCTTCATTGCTGCAAAATCATCTGCACCCCTGCTCCCAGCCTTCTGTTCTGCTTGGTCATATCCCACAGGGTCTATGGGCCCCAGGGACCAGTCCTGTTAGCTTGGAAGTGGCAAGCCAACCTCTGGGTTCTTCTAGAAACATGAGTATATCCCTACCTTCCTTCTGCCTAGAATGTTGTCCCTGTAATTACTGAACACTTACATACTCTGAAACTGCAGGCCCCTTCCCTACTCCTGATCCCTTTAGAGCTCTGTCTTCCACCCACATTCCCATGAGATATTTTGTCTTTGTTTGGTATTTTATCGTCTATCCGCCTTAACCCTAATCCATTTGGCCCTACAGGGACAACAGACCTTTGTCCCTTACCACTAGGGCTATAGCCAGGTCCACAGCAGGCATTCACTGAATGCTTGATGCCTGAGAGGTCAGAGTACAGGGCCCACTCCCCGGCCTGTAGCATGGGAGGAAGAGGAGGAGGAGGAGGGGAAGACACCAAGAGCTTCATAGGACATGGGGAAGATGGGTGATTCAGGGTGCACAGGGCCGGAGCTGCCTTGCCCATCGCTCCATTTCTTCTGACACCTTGTCCACTTAGGCCTCACCCCCTACCTTGGTTCCTCTCCACAGTCTCCAGCAACTAGAACAGTCATGTCTGTTCACCTCCACACAGGGTGCCGAGTGTGTGATGAGTGGGCCAGGGAGCAAGATGAGGCCTTGGGAACCTTGTGGAGAAGGGCTTGATGGCCCTCACCCTTGTTTCCTCTCCTAATGCTCCCACTCTGTCCTTCAGAGACACAGTTAAGCTGCTGTGACAGATACCACAGGATAGTTGGCCCAAACCTTCGCTGGACCTTAGTGTCTCCACCTCCTTAAAGTCCCACCCCTTAAAGACAGATGCCACACTCATTCTCCAGGGGAGTCTGGGATGCAAAGCAGGGTGCTAGGGGTGCCTCTTAGGGCCCTTGCACATTCTAGATAAGTACTCTGCCGCTGGACCACACTCACCCCTGAGATTCGGGACGTCTTATGCATTACCACCTCAGCTTAGTTGCAGAGCATCCCATCGCTCCAAAAGGAAGCCCCTTACCCATGGCCAGTTGCTCCACAGTCTCCTGTGGCCTTGCTCTGTGTTCTCTGCCCAGAGGTTTGCCAGCCTGCCCTGTGCAGCCTTTCCCAGCATCACTGTTGAGACTTACCATTGTTGCCATATGACTCAGCACCGTGTTCCTTTTCCTGGCTAGATAGCATTCCATAATGTGGACAGGCCACATTTTACCAGCGATACCATCTCAAGCAGGCCACATTTTGTTCAGCCATTCCTCCATGGGCCGACTTTTGTGTTATCTCCCCCTGTTGGTGGATGTGGGCAATGCAGTTGTGGACATGTGTTCACTCTTGCTATAAATTCTGTAGGGGTCATTGCTAAGTTGTATGAGGCCACTGCTATGTTTATTTGTTGTGGTGGTGATTTTTTGTTTTTGTTTTTTCAAGACAGGATTTCTCTGTATAGTCCTGGTTGTCCTGGAACTCGCTTTGTAGACTAGGACAGCCTCGAACTCACAGAGATCCATCTGCCTCTGCCTTAAAGGTATGGGCCACCACTGCCCAGCCACTGCTATGTTTTAAAGAAAGGATTTGGGTGGGTAGATAACATCAGACCCTTCCATGCCTAGTTCTTTATTTGTTTTTTGAGTTTTTGCTTTTTTGTTGGTGTTTTGTTTGTTTGTTTGTTTTCTGTTTTTCAAGACAGGGTTTCTCTGTGGCTTTGGAGGCTGTCCTGGAACTCTTGTAGACCAGGCTAGTGTCGAACTCACAGAGATCTACCTGCCTCTGCCTCCTGAGTGCTGGGATTAAAGGTGTGCACCACCACTTCCCAGCCTTCTGCTGTTTTCTTCTCTGCACTTCCTGGTCCCAGAAATAACTAGAGGCAGATTCAAGGTACATACCACTTATACATACCTTGCCTGCCCACTCCAAGGACCTGGGCCAGTGTTGGCTGTGTTTCTTTCCTCTGTGATCGTGACTGTACACCTCATGGAAACAACTTGGGGAGGAAAGGGCTTGTTTTGGCTCTTGGTTTCACAGTTCAGTCCATCACCGTGTGCGTGCGTGCGTGCGTGCGTGTCACATGCAAGGGCTCTTCACACTATGGCTGCCAGGAAATAGAGAGGCAAGTGTGGGCACTCTGCTGCCTTCCTCCTTCCTTATTTTCATTGCATTAGTCGAGGCCCTCAGGCATGGACTGGAGCTCTCACACTTGGGGCCAATCTGCTTACCTGGGTTAGTCTCCTCTGGCATGACCCTCACAGACATATCTAGAAGCCTACCTAACCAATCTCCTAGGCAGTTCTAAACCCAGTCTAGCTGACAGTGAGGGGAACCGTTGCAGGCGCCTTGCCTGGGCACATGCTGCCATAATAATAAGTAGTGTGAAGAAGCAGGGCTGGTGAGCAGGCGCCTGGAACTGAAGATGCCCCTGCAGGTGGGACGGTACGGGAGACACGTGCCTATGATGGCATCTTCCAGTTATAAACTAGGCCTCCTTTTCCATACTAGCCAGACCCCTAAGAGGCTGGCAAGGACTTGGGGTCAGGGACCCCTGGTGGAGAGCTAAGCACCTTTCTGTCTGTACTGCTACAGATCTCAGTCACTATGCAGAGCATGGCAGTGTCCACAGGAAGAGCCCAGGTAGGCACAGCAGGCATTTAGTCCTCTGTGGACGCTATGTCTGCGGAGGTGCCCATCACGCCTGATGTCGTGTTCTTTTAGTCATGGCACAGGGGCTTTAAATTCAATTTAAAGAAAAATGTCAACGATGTACTAGTATAACCAGGAGAACCTCCCTCACAGATGTAGAGGCCTGTGGGAAAGAAAGCAGGCAGGAAGCAAAACAGCACTCCCACCTCCCTTACCTGTCCCCCACACACACACACACACACACACATACACCTTCCTGTTTGAAGCTGTATGCTTGCCTCCTGACCCTGGAGCCTTCTGGGTCTGAATCCATTTTCCTTTCTCTGTAGGTGTAATAACCGAACCCAGTGTGTGGTGGTGGCCGGCTCTGACGCCTTTCCTGACCCCTGCCCTGGAACCTACAAGTACCTGGAGGTGCAGTACGACTGTGTCCCTTACAGTGAGTCATCTTGTTCCTCATGCTGTCTTGGGCCCTTCCCCCACAGAGCAAGGGAAAAGCACCTTGATCCGGCACATGTGTGCACTCATCCATGGGGCTGGGCACAGAGGCTAGCAGGCTTGCTCCCATTTTGACACATTCTTTTCACAGACACTTGCCACTTTTGGTGGCTGCTCTCCCACAGATTGTCCCCTCCTGCTAATTCTAGTCACCTGCCCATCCTTGCTTCCTCAATGACCTTTACCTGCTAAAGCCCTTCAAGCCACACCCCTACAGCATGCTGGCATCTCTGGCCTTCCGACCACTGTACCTCCCTCCCTTTCTCCTCCTGCCCATGGACACACTTGACCTTTCTCACTTTCTTCCACACATCCTCTCTTACCCCTGCCACATCACGAAAGCCAAAGATCTTCCAAGGTTCCTAACTACTAGTTGGTTTATCTATTACCCTGAGAACTTCCTGTCTGCAAAGGAAGTACTGCCATGTTGGAATGATAGTACCCCCAAGAAGATGATTTTGGGGAGCCAAAAGCCTGAGTATCCTGCATCTGACTGAGGGGGAGCAGATAGAGACAGGGTTGCTCATCCACAGCGCCTACCCCTAGCATCACCAGTCTTCCTGTCCACTCTCGTCCCTCCCATTGCCCCGTCCGTCCTCTCACCTGGCTTCACATGGCCAGTCTGGAGGTAGGGAAGGCCTCTAGACAAAAGGGGAGGAGGCAGGACCATTGGGGTGTCCCAGTGAGGGGACAGGGGAGTAGGAACCCTCATAACTCTGCCTCCTCTCCCCTCCCACCCAGCTTTCCCCACCGCCACCCCTCCAACCTTTGATTTCTCCTCGCAGGTGAAGCCGGGATGATGGGTGAGCAGGATCACTCTCTGCCTATGTAACTTTCTTCTTTTAGTCTCCGCCCTTTCCTTTCAGTGCCTGAGGGGGATGCCCATCTGCTCCCCGAAGCCTCCCCACAGCACTGGGGACACTGCCCACCGCAGCTGGGGCAGCAGAGGGGGGAGGCGGGAAGCAGCGTGTGTCTAGGACAGAGGGCTGGGCAGGTGGTGTGAGGTTCAACTATGGCTCCTGACTTGTCTGGCTCTGAAACCTGCAGCAAATGACTTAAAATTTCTCCGGGTGCTGCAGACGGAGGCGTGAGTCCTGGAGATCGGGAGTGACAATCGCTCGGCCCTGCGGCCAGAGTCTGCTCCCAGGAGCAAAGCCCCGAAGGCAGAGGCTGCGACTTCACCCCCCAGCGCCCATCCCCGAGCCTGATTCAAGATGTGCTCAGTGATGGTACGGACATCTTTCCCACCACCTGAGCCTCTTAACTCCTTTGTGATGCGGGAGGGGGTCAAAAGCCTGCCTGGAGTGCTTCAAGGAAAAGAGACAGCATGGGACCCAAGCTACTATGTGCCCCAGGCCATAGGTTCTCAGGGAACGGCAGCTGCATGGGCTCCTCGATGTGGCTTCTCGTCTCTGAACCTCAGTTTCCCCAGCTGTAGACAGGGTCCTGGAAGGCCTCACGAGCACTGGTTGTTGTCACTGTGACTACACTTCGCTTCTAACTAGTTAGTATTATTGCCTTGGTAATCAAAACAAGAATAGCAACATATAACAAACCTAACTCCAGAGCAGACAGGACACAGGACTGGAAAATGTCCCTGGTCCAGGTCCAAAGATCAAACCAAGATACAAGAAAAAAAGAAGAGGCCACAGGTCCTGGGATGTAACTTAGAGGACCTGAAAAGCCCCCTTGTAGCCTAGGAGCACAACCCAGGAAGATGGGTTGTGGGGTTGAAGGTGGCGCAGGGCAGGGATGGCAGCTTTAGACTGAGGAGGTGCAACCCTGAGCCTTGGAAGGCAGTGTGCACACAGGTGGCTGTCATGGGTAGGGCTGCCCACGGGTGCTCTTGTTCAGGCAGAGCTAGAATGCCCAGTTAAACTATCTCCTGCCTCCCCCTAGATAATTGGGGTTGGGATTCAGGGATAACTAAAGCTAGGAAAAAGAGAAGCCAGACACACAGTTCATGACTTTCCCTGAGCATATCCTGAGTGCTAGGTCCTGGGCACGGCGCTGGGGAGCCAGAGTCCCTGCAGAACTCAAGCAGGGTGTCTGGAGGGGATCAGTCTGGTCAGCCACAGGGCCCTGGGCTTCAGAGGCTGAGGTGACCCCAGTGCTGGTGAAGGGGGGGCAGGGGTGGGGGGCAGGGATCCCACAGATGGGGGATCACTGGAGTGTGGGAACCCCAGACTTCGGACTAACACTGGATTTGCTTTGCAGCTGAGCACAGCCTAACTCTCCCTTCCTCCCCAGGTGCCACCTGTGCGTCATCAAGGGCGGTGGGCAGGGCAGGGTGCAGCTAGGGCTCCTGGGCCCTTGGTGAACTGGGCAGAGCAGCTGAACCTTGAGCACCCCCCCCCAGAGTATAGGAGCCTGTCTGCCACATGCTGTCCAGCCCAGTCTGTGTTCCCTCCAACTCTATGCCTCTTGTCTCCCCTACCCTGGCTCTGTCCGAGGCCAGGGGCACCTACCTGCCTGCCTGCCTCTGTTGTTCTGTGTCTGGCTCTGCTGCCCTCTCTGTGCGTTTTGGGGGTCTGGAGGGCTTAGAGGAACACAACTGGAGTCAGGTGGGGCTACTCAAAGGGGAAGGGGCTCAGCCTGTGCTCTCAGCTGGGAAGGGTACCCAGACCCCAGAGACACTAAACCCCTCTTGGCCCCTGGTTCTAACAGGACATTAGCACACAGGGTGGAGAGGAGCCCTGTGGTTCCTATATTCCCCACTGCCTGGTGTCCCTCTAGCCAGAGTTCAGCTCCTAGCTGGGGCTCCTCTCTACCCCCGGGGCCCTCCTACCTGAGGGCTCTGACCCCTGCCTGTCCGTACCATACCCAGTCTTTTCGTCTCTTCCCTCCTGTGTGTCTCCCTTGTCCCTTCTCACTGTCTCCTCAGCACCCTCTCACCCCATCCTACCCCAGAAAAAGGAACTTGGGGGTGGGGGCTGAAATGATGCTACGGAAGGGGTTGGGAAAACAGGAGGAAAGACAGGAAGAGGGGGCGTGTGGCCAGAAAAGAAACGAAAGCAATTTAATCTTTTTTTCTCTTTTTTTTTCTTGCACATTTTTTTTCAATTTGTTTTCTCTCTCTCTTCCGATGCTTAAAGTAGAAGTGGAGCAGAAAGGTAAACGCACTGTTACCAATGCTAACCCCTAACTCACACTTTGTTCCACCTTGTACCATACTCATGTGGCCCGCCCCTCCCTCCCACCCCTTCTTCTCCCCCACCCGGACTTGGTCCAGTGATTTCCCTGCCCCGGGTGTCCTCCCAGCACAGCTGGGCTGGCCCTGGTGCTGCAGCACCACCAAGGCCACGGTCACGGCCACGGGCTTCTCCACCCTCCAGATATTCACCGGAGCTCCTCTCTGAGCCTGGGCAAGATACTCACCCCACTCCCACAACACTCTCTCTATCTCTCTCAACCTCTCTCTCTCTCTCTCTCTCTCTCTCTCTCTCTCTCTCTCTCTCTCCTCTCTCTGCACCTCTTCTGGTCCCTGGTCCCTGCAGGGTACCTGACCTCATCTCTCATTTCTTTTGCCTCCCTTAGGAGAAATGTGTAAGCATCCAGGCGGGTGGGGAGGGAGGGGCTCCCCAGCCTCCACAGGCACCGGTAGAGGTCTCTCTTCCTCGGTCTCTCTCTGTCTCTCCTTCTCTCCCTCCCTCTTACTTTCTCTCTCCTCCTCTCTCTCTCCTCTCCTGTCCCCCTGTACCTTTTGCAAAGTGTTTCTGGTAAAGGGTGGTGGGATGGAGGGGACACTTTTTCCTTTGGGGGACCAGATTTCTCATCTCTCTCTGGCTCCTGGTGGCTTAAGTTCTTCTGGTTTGGCGTTTCAAGGCCCAGAGCTGTTTTGGAGCACAGAGAACAAGTTTCCTCACCCACCACCCCTTCTGACCAGCCGGGTCCAGTACTGGGGAGGGTTGTCAGCAATCCCAAGCCCCTGGGACCCTGGGCCAGGGTGGGGGTGGGGCTCCTGGAGAGGGCGGAGTGGGTTCTGTCTCATCACACTTGCAAAGCTGCAGTCAGGGTTTCTTCCGGGCTGATGTGGGAGAGGACGAGGGAGGGATGGTGGGGTCACAGATTTGCTCTGGGGACTTCCACAGGCACCATAATTTCTTGCAGGGAGTCCCACAGTAGTAGGTGTGTCTCTCTATTATGGGATAGGGAGTTGAGGGTGACCTGCTAGTAATAGGGCAGGAGGCAATGGAAAGACAATGAGACCCCCAGGGTCCCTTCTGCCTTGAAATTAAGGTGGTCTGTGGAGGATCCCCTGCCAGGGAGGTGGGTGGGGTCCCTCTGAGCTGCTCCCTCCCCTTTCCTTCCCGCCTTGCCCATCTCAGAGGCCTGGGCACCATCCCTCCCTTGCTCTCCTGAGTCAGCCCTGCACTAGCCACTCTTCTTGCAGGCTTGGAACTACAGCACTGGATCTCCTCTCTGGGTCGGGCTGGGGAAGGGAAGAGGTATTGGGAGCTGGGTGCTGAGTTGGGGTCCTTGCTGCCCAAGGCCCCCGGCAGGCCCTTCCTCATCTCTTCCCCTTCCTTGGGATGACCTCTAACTGTGTTTTTCCTCCCCTGGTACCCTCTGACCAGCTCAGGCCTCTGTCATGAACACACACCCCTGGCAGGGGTTTTTATGGGCTAGAGGGGGAACCTGGGGAACAGAAAAAAAAGGCAGGGGCCAGATTGTCTGGTCAGAGGGTACAGACATAACTGATGATGGGGATACCAGGGCTTAGAGCCCAGGGTTAACTCCTGCTCCAGGGGCTGTGCTACCGGCTGCCTTGGGCCTAGGGACCTAGAACCAAGCTGCCCTTAGCACTATAATGGGGTGGGGGTGGGGCTACAGATTGCTCCCCTCTTCCAACCAAATTAGCCTGCTGATGAGCCAGGCTGAAAATAGGCCCTGGGCCTGGCTCCTACCCAAGGATCCCTCACTACTGAAGCTGCCCACCATGGTGGGCAAGCTGTCCAGCCCTCCCTGTGTCCCTGGGGCTAGCTGCTTTGGTGATGGACCAAGCAGGAGCAGAGAATTCACTGTAGGTACACAAACACCCACCCTGCAGCCCTGGCCTGCCTGTGGATTCTGTCATGGAGAAAGGAGAGGGAGGTGCCAGCCCTCCTGAGGGAAGGGCCTCTGTCCCATAGCACTTGGGAAAAGGGAGGGGGGGCACTCACTGACCTGCTGAATCACTAGGGTAGGCTAGGAACAGGTGGTGCTGGGCTGTGAGGGGCAAGGGTGGGCAGGCCAGTGGTGCCAACGAGATGCAGTCGAGGTTTTCCTCTTTTCAGGGAATGGGGGGGTGGGGCGGGGCCCCCCACCTTTCTGACATCATTGCTGCCTTGGT